CGGGGGACCTTCCCACGCCAAGGGGGGCCTATCATAAACCACCAGCAGATAGACCACCGACGGGGGAAGTACCAAATGCAAAACAGCGCAAGCGAGGGTTCGGGCATTTTGTCAACACTTTGCCTTCTGTGTATCAATATTTCCGACGCCCGAAACCTGCTGAGCCTCGCCCGAGGTCTCGGGACAGATCAAGCGTCGAAGGGATGTGTTGTTTCAAAAGGCTGCATGATGATCACCAAAAAGTTCAAGAACGCAAGGGCAGATTTCGGAATTCAGGACAAACGGCGTGTACGGCGGATACTTTTGTTTCACAAACAGACACAGCAAAGCAGCATGATTGTTTTTCAGTTTTGACTTTTTTGAGAGAGATATGCTACGGCAAAAGGCAAGGAAAGGGAGGAGGAAGGAAAGGCAGAAAGAAGAAGACAGTGTGGTTGAGAGAGACACGACCAAGAATCATCATCCTTTTTGGCAGCGGCCCAAGCGTACTTTTCTTTACGCTCGTTGTAATCTCTCCAGCATGTTCGGAGGCTGGGTCAGCCGTCCATCGCTTTGGAACAAGGGAACTTTCTTCTGGTGAGCGGCGCCGAAGCTCGCGGTGCCTCCGGGGCCGTTTCGGGCCGTCGTCGCCTTCATGTGTTTACTTTTTTCACTACTACAACATTCAAGGTCCGAGTTTGCTCTCGTTCTTCGGTTTCTTCTTTTCAAGCTTCTTTTCTTGTTTGGTCACGGATCAAGGAGGGTGTGAGTGCAGGTCACGAAATCATCGGAAAGTTCGCGCTCGCCATGGGAAACAGACACAAACAGGATGGGAAGACCCGATCCTGTTTAGCAGGATCAGGTACACCCGCTTGTAAACATGTATACAAACACATTTCTGAACAAAAAAAGACACTTTTTCGCGCTGCCAGAAACACAAACTCCACACTGAAAATCTCGATTCGTGACTGCCTGACTGCCTCCATCCCTCCAGATGACTGAGTGAGATCCCAAATCCAGACTGGCACATGTTTCTCTCTGCTTGCCTGCCCTTCCATGACTCGGTGAATAATGTTCTAGCTCATCGATCGATGAGCCTGGACTTGAGGCACATTCAGGCATGGGTTGTGTGTTGTGAAAGTGCCCGAGTGAGACAGCGCTACCGAAAGACGCAGATTTCGTCATGGGGGCAGGAGGGTGTGGTGTGTGGTTTTTTCGTATCGGATGTTTTGAAGCATAACGTTTCTTATTCGTCTTGCTTCTTCCGATTGATTCACCATTGGGGGCGGCAGCGGCGCGCGCGCGCGCGTTGGCTGACAGAGCGAGGCTTAGCTGACACGCACATATTTTGTCTGGTGTTTTTTGTTTTTTTTGCAACGGCGCCCGGCATTCAAGGTGACGTTTGTCTTGGGGGCATGTCTTCCTCACAATGCCACTGTGGGAAGGCTAGCCAAGTCATCTGCGATCCGATGGCTGGCTGGCTGGCCTTGTCTCTTGTCCGTGTCTCTGTCTTTCCCTGCCCTCAACGAACGATTGGGACAGGCACCAAAAGCGAGGCAATGGAGTGGGCGCACCCCTCTCGTTCCGCGGCTTCTCCCTCTTGGGCGGCGCCCCTCCCATAACCCATGGGACCGCGTTCGCGGACTGAGGTCCGGCTGTAACGGTAATCCTGCGATTCTCTGCCTCTGCCGGACAGGGACCCAGGACAGAGAGACCACTTTTCAGTAAACGAGGCAAGGCCACATGCATGCGCTGTGTCTTGACAAGGTGGAAGAAAAATGCTCTTTCTTTCTCCAGAAAATTTCCAACGGTTCGGCATGTCCGTACATCCCCGGCATGGGTCTTTTTGCCCTATCTTTCTTTTTCTGTTGGCTGGCCTTTTTTTTTTTTTTTCATGTACAAGAGGGACGGGACGCGTGTAGGCGAATTTGATATCCACAAGCACCAGGGCGAGAGCGAGGCATGATATGATGATGCGCCGTCACTCAAATCATGCAGCGCCAGACATCGATCGGATCGAGGAGAAAATTAGAAACGCAGCCTCTTATTTTTAGGGAAATCTCCTACTGCAATGCAGTGTAAGAACAAATGCGACGATGACTGGAAAGTATGTCTGGCATGTCAGCAAGAGAAAAAGAATGTGAGAGACCACCAAACACGTGTGCCTTTTTTTTTTCCCCCTACCTCCGTAATACGAGATGTTACGGTAATAACGAGGTGGGGGATTGGCTGGTCAAGTCAGGCAAGGCGAACCAAAGCACAGCCTGTATGATACCATGCCTTTGCAGCAGCAGAGATTTTCAGATGCGGCGCATGCCCGCGAGTTCATTCGTCAACGTTCACTTGAGCCAATATTAACAGCAGTTTTAAGAAGGTGGTGGTGTTGCTTTGGGGGCGATGCGGGATGCAATAAACAGCATACCTACTAGGTAGCTGGCCAGCCATTCACTTTCCACAGACTTACAGCATGTACTTCTTCAAGACGGTGTTACCTTGACCACATATCCAGGTTGCTGACACCGAGGTCCGATACGGTTTGCCTCAATGCTACGTACGGCCCGTGTTGGATGGCAAGGTCTTGTTCCGCCTGGGGTAGACTATTGGATTGCACAGGCCGACTGACGGCAAGAAGTGACACCCAGACCGCGAGTCCTCGCAAATGAGCCGATTAATTAAAAAAGATACAAGTGAGGAAATCTACGCCATGTGAGTGTGAGTGGTTCACCGCTCATCCTCTCGATCATGGCCCAAGCTTTTTGGGGGTTTATCTCATGTCCAGCGTCAGTTGTCTCTGTGCGTGCAGCAGTAGTAAATGAGATGAAGAAGAGATGAGATGAGTGTGTGTTGGAGTATCCGCACGCAATGCACGCACGGCACGAGCACGAGCACACACCACATACGCAGGTACAGCATGTTCGACAACCTTGAAGTCTCGTGGGCCGTGGTCGCCACGGGCCAGACGGAGAGAGGCCGTTGGGGCCGGTTGACCGCGCTTCTTTGCAGTGAAGCCAGGCCAGGCCACGAGGTTGCGAAGGTTCGGCGCGGTGAAGAAGATGGAGGTCGCAATGGTCAGTGGTGTCTCGGACCTTGGACAAGACGGTGGGCCAGCACGGTTCACTGCGCTGGGGCCGGATGGACATTGATCTGGATCCCGAATGGCGATAGACATGTCCAACAAGATGTGGGTTGTGTGAGTATCCGTAAGGTAAGGTAGTGTAAGGTATCCGTCGTGCGGTCGGTTCGGTTCTTCCCTTGACAGCGACGACGATGATGCTCGCCTAGAGCGGTCTGCCTGAGGATGAAGATGAAGATGAAGAACAAGCGCCACTCAGAAATGTTTGACACCCGTGCTCACCATGTCGGATCTCCAGTTCCAGGTTCTTCTTCAAGACTTGGAGACTGGAGTTGACCGGGCCAGGCTGGACGTCCCTACACCGCAAAGTCAACAAACAACAAAAACAGCAAGACAGGCGAGTCTGTCGCCGGTGTCTGGCACAATCAGCCCATGAAGCATGAAGCGAACTCCAGCAGGAGCTCCAGCGCAATTTTGGCGCGGCCCGCTCAGACGAAGTCTCCAAAGAGTCCCGTCGTCCCAGGCGGTAGCGGTGCGGCCCCGAAGGCCCTCCCCCCGCTAATCTACAGGCCCGTCGCCCGCCCGCCCTCTTAGGCTCAGAAGCTTCAGTACCTCCAGGGTCACCTAAAACACCTCAGGTAAGGTATGGACCTGCTGGACGGTGGACACTGAGGTGCGTATCCGTACTGGGATCCCTAATAATGCCGTGGAGTCCTTCCCGGGTTCATGGGGAGGGGAGGGGTCTCGCTGGGTCTTTTTTCTCCAGCGGGCAGGCCATTCTCAGTTCTGCCCGGCACGTTGTAGCAAATGGGATCCCGCGATGGTCCCCCGGTTCCAGGTTCCAGAGCAAGACGGGCCTGCGAGGCTACGACGTCGCTACGAAGACACACTGCACTAGCCCAGGGCCAATTTCGACCTTGGACGGATGGGCATGAAGTCAAGCATGGAAGCAAGCCATCATCATACCCATAAGACCAACCCATGAGGCCAGGACCCTCTTCGCCATCTCCAGTCTCCCGGGGCCTCGTCGTCGTCGTCGTCTTCTTCTTGTTCCTCTTGTTCAGCGGCGCCTTCAGGGACCCTAGACACCGAGGGGTCGCCGTCCCACCAGCTAGACACAAATCAAAAGGCACTGGACCAGTCGGAATCTCGATGAGGGCCCAAGGCTAGCCTTTCGAAACTTCCACCGTCTCCATACCTTCCATTGCATCTCCAATTGCCGTTCCTGCAGCTGACCTTGCAATTCCAATAGAACATTTCGCGCGTCTTCGACATACCCTGCAATAGAAGCTCACGAAGGCGAGGTGGGAAATGGGCCCAGCCAGCCTTTTCCATCGCGAACAACATGCAAAGTACCGATTGAACGGCGGTACAATTGAATACACTGAGGTGCCTATTCGTTAGGGACCCAGTTGTGTAAATTGTCCGAGCGGAGCGGCGCGCTCGCTCCAGTCATGATTTCAATTTTCCCCCCCCTCTGTTCGCCCTCCTCTCGCTTCTGTTCGGCGAGCCGCGACGACCTCCAGCAGAACCGGGTTTCTTACTCACTCCGTTCCCTCGTACCACCGTTTCGCGCTCAACTCACTAGGTAATCAACCATTGACTACCCCCGGCCTCATCCATCCACGGCTCTCAAGACCCCGACGGACGGAGCTCCGAGTCATTCAAGGGTCCCTTGGACGGCAGCTCCTGGACCACGAACCAGTCTGTTCCCCATCCTGCTGCTCTTCCGTCGCGACCCGCCATCAGATTGCAACCGCAGTCCATGCTGACCGTTCCGTTGTAGCCTTTCACAAAGTCTCACGGACCCAGGGCACGCATAATCTCTCGAGGAGGAGGGAGAGGCTTTGCATAGTGCTGTAGGTACGAGCGTCAAGGCGTCAGCATTTGTGCGCGGTCAGACTTGTCAAAGTCCGAGAGCACTATCCGACCACCTCGGGCTGCCGCCATGTCATCTGAACAACTGAATGTCATCGCCCTGGTCTCGGGTGGCAAGGACAGCTTCTTCTCTGCCCTGCACTGCCAGAGGAACGGCCATCGGCTCGTGGCTCTTGCTAACCTGTTCCCCGCCGCCCCCGTCAGCGCCGGTTCCGACGCCGCCGCGCGCTCGGCCCAGGGTGATACCCTCATCTTCAAGCCTCGTGGTGATGATGATGGTGATGGTCACGTAAAGGATGCCGCCGGGCAACACCAGCCGGAGGAGCACCAGCAAGAGGACGCTCGGGAAGGAGCTGCCGGCCAAGACGCCGACCTCAACAGTTTCATGTACCAGACCGTCGGACACCAGGTCATACCCCTTTACGCCGACGCCACGGGACTGCCACTCTACCGCCAGCCTATCCGTGGCGGCGCCAAGTACGAGGGCAGAGACTATGATTCATCCCACGCCGCAGGTGGCGATGCCGTGACGGCCGTCGACTCGGATGAGACGGAGAGCATGGTGCCCCTCCTCCGCACGATCATGGCAGCTCACCCGGAAGCCAACGCCCTCTGCGCGGGCGCCATCCTATCGACGTACCAGAGGACTCGCGTGGAGTCCGTCGCCCTGCGTCTGGGCCTCACGCCGCTGGCATATCTCTGGAAGTATCCGACCCTCCCGTCTCCGCTGCCCGGTACCGTCGAGGACGCCCAGCTGCTGCACGACATGGCGGCCGCCGGCCTCGACGCGAGAATCATCAAGGTCGCGAGCGCGGGGCTTGATGAGGAGTTCCTCTGGGAGAGGGTGAGTTCCCTCGCGGGCGCGGCGCGGATCAAGCGCGCGCTGCGCAAGTTTGGCGCCGCCGAGGGCTCCGTGCTGGGAGAGGGCGGCGAGTTCGAAACGATTGTGCTCGACGGGCCCCCGGGCTTGTTCCGCAAGGCCATCGAGGTGCCCGAGGCCGGCAGGAGGGTCGTCAAGGAGGGTGGCGGAACGTCTTGGTTGAGCTTCTCGGGGGCGAGTGTCCGTGAGAAGGCTGCTCCTGAGATGACGGGAGAAAGCTGCTCCCCGGTCCGGGTGCCTGATGTTCTGGACGCCAAGTTTCAGGCTCTGCTGGAGTCTCTACCTCGAGATTCACCACCTGTGGTGCCGCCGTCTGAGAGCGAATTCGAGGGCAGCAATGGCAAATTTTCAGCGTCTATTGCACCTACGACTGATATTCACTGGACTGTCGTACCGCAGGAGCCCCGGGGCACGAGATTCACAGTCGAGGAAGAAACGGAGGATATTGTTCGACAGGTTCGGGGCCTCCTAGATGGACATACTCCGCCGCTGCCCACCACCGCCATTACTCATACCGTCATCGTTCTAAGGCAGATGTCGGATTTCCCTGCCATAAACAAGATTTATGGCAGCCTGTTCCAGCACCCGAATCCCCCGTCCCGCGTCACAATCTCTTGTGGAAGCCTCCCCAAAGGCCATTCCATCAATATTCATTTCGCTGTCAAGCCTGATTTGGAGCAGCGGGATCGGAACGGCCTTCACGTTCAAGGCAGGTCATACTGGGCGCCCGCGAATATCGGCCCCTACAGCCAGGCTATCGATGTGCCCCTGAGCAAGGTCGAGACGGCGGCGAGCGGCGTCAGGCAAGTGACTATCGCAGGCCAGATCCCGCTCGTCCCAGCCAGCATGATTCTCCCCACGGAGACAACAGGCAACCTGGAGATGCAGATCGTACTTTCTCTGCAACATCTCTGGCGCATAGCCACTGAGATGAAGGTGCAGCTGTGGACGAGTGCTGTAGCATACTTCCCCAATACCCCCAAAGAGGCAGACGCGCGGCGTCAGGCACATCTGGCTGCCGCAGCTTGGTCGGGAGCGCACGCTCCTGGCGGCGACGAGGACGAGGATGACGAGGGCGGCCCAGATCTTTGGGACCGCAAGTACAACCCCCAATACATGTCGCTTGGAGGCGAGGATCCTGCCAAAGAGCAGAAACTTCCCGACTGGTCCGTCGTCAAGAACGAGACGGACGATGAAGACGAAGCAGCGAAGCCGGTGCCCTCGTTTTTCGCGGTCGAAGTCGAGGAGCTGCCTCGCGCGGCTGGTGTAGAGTGGCACGCGCATCTCGGCCTCTCACGCCTCCCGTCCTCGTCGGTGGAATACCAGACCTTTAACGTCAAGGCGTCACAGCGCGTTCCTTTCTATCACCGTATCTGTCATGTGGTAGTCGCCGGAACGCTCGTTCACACCACCATCTCCTGGCTTCCTACCAAGGATTCCTGGACGAAAAGTCCGATGCATCCTGCAGATGTGGATGAGTGGATGAGGCGGGCTTATCTGGAGGCTATTGGTAGCGACGAATCTGCTTCGAGATCCGGCCACATGTATCTGATGTACATCAACATGGGCAAGACAGCCTTTCCTCTCATGCGCGCAGGTTATGGGCCGAAGGGCATGGAGGCTGCGTATGTATTCGCGCGGTCGATTCGGAGTGGGGATGGAGATGAAGTAAATGCTGTTGGGCTTTTCAAGTAAGCCCACACTCAATGAGAATGAATGATGAAGGACTAGTGTCTGTGAGTGACCAATATCTCGGGGCAATCGGGGATGAGGTCAGTCTCTTCAGCTCCATGAGTCTGGTTGACCGGCTTGAGTAGGTGGCATATGTCACGGCCAAAGCAGCGTCCGCTCCGGAAGTCGGTGACTGTGTCCCTTTACATGCTGACTTGCTCCTCCACCCATGACTACCGCCAATGGCATGACTACTTATTCGAGGCTTTCTGGCAAGGTGTTGCACGGTAGATACTGCCTGTTGGAACATACTTCACGACCCCCAGTTGGAGATGAACTGCCGGGGGCAAACAACTATCAACGACAATACATCGTCGATGAATCATGGAGCGTGCGGGCAAGTTCCACAATTGGCATTCGCTGCTTAGATCTTCCCTCGAGCTGCCGTTCGCTCATGACATTGCCTTCCGGCTGTCATAGGTTCTGTCGTTGACTTTGACTTTACCGGAGAACGCGGACTTCCCGAAAGATGTAGACCGACTTAGCCAGACGCTTCGTTGCCAAGCCCCTCGATTCTTGGACGAGTCTTTACTTGCCCTTCTCCAGAATAGTGCCTCCTACCCATCTTCGAAGATTGGCCAAAATCAAGTTGCAAGACGCTGCGTGCAGGCAGTCCAAGGCCTCAAAGTTTCGACGGAACAAGACGCATTTGTTCCGTAGGTAACAACAAGGCCTTACGTCGTCTCATCTCCAAGCCTGTCTGCTCTTCATTGTTCCTTTCCTCGGTCCACTCTTTCCACGGACTTACACCGCCCACAAACTGGGAGTAGAGACTTGCCAGTCAGCAAAAGAAGAGCCCCAACGTAGATACGGGATCAATACGCTCGCGGTTATTCTCATCCAGCTTTTGGATGATCGTAAGAGCAACTAGCTGAATGTGTGTGTATATGCGTGTCCTATGTGGGCATTGGGGGCCCCAGATGAAGCATCCTGAAACTATCTTTACTCTTGAGGCCATAAGTAGAGCATGTTCCTGCTTCAGCTGAGACCGCCAGAACGCTCTATTGAAGTGAGTTAAGACAAGTATGAACATGAGCGGACTACTACTTAGAGACAAGCTAGTTCGTCATAGAGACTGAATCTTGGTTAGAAATGCTACTACCATATTGCAACTCTCACAGTAATTGCCAAGGTGCTCCTTAGAACACTACCCTGTTATTTCGCTGCAGACTCTGGGCTTGCATTACAGAGTCACATAGAAGAGGCACTATTATTCTTAGGACCCTTGATAGTGTTGTTGGAGATGATTCAGTCGTGGTGCGGGTTTGATGATTCCGATTGGTGATGGCATTGGTCCCCGTGGTGTGTGGCGGGGTAGATCACGGAGCCCGCCCCCAGATCTCACTGTTCCAAGGTTGAGATGGTCGGCGACCAACCAGGAGCGCCAGGCCCGTTACAGTGACAATCCAGCCAGAAGATGGTGGGAGGGTCGGACGCTATGTCATGGGGTCCCCCCTTCTTAAAAAGCCCACGTGAATGGAAAGCCCGTCCCATTGTGAGACCACCAACCTGAGAGAGAACAGCTCTTGCCAGTTTCCCCAAACTTTCCTCTCTGCTAAGATTGCCCGTTCTTGCCGCCAAAGACGCCGGTAAAATCCTCAAGGTAGGTCCAGTTCCCCCACGTTTCCTCCCGGCTGCCGGCTTCAAGACGCAGCCGCCCGACTCCCGTGCCGCAATGGAACTTGGACTCCAGCATAGTGCATCAGGAAAACCGCCCTAACGCACCTCCAGCAGCCGCGACCTACTGCCCGTTGCCGATTGCAGAGATCCCACCTCGAGACCCCCAAAAATTTCCAAGAAACCTTAGCTTCTCTTTTGTTTTTATTTTTTATATATAGGCGACTTTTTCCCTTTGGCCTCTGATCACGTCACACGACCCCTGTTCTCGCGTGAGGCACCATCGTCCAGACCATCTTCGATCTGGGTCTGGGACATGCAGAAGTCGCCCTTGTCTCGGTCGTGATGGCGCCCGCCGGCGATGATGCACCACAACCTTCGGCCGCCGCGCCTCCTCTCCCACCACCACCTCCTCCTCTTTCATCTGATCCCCAGCAAGACCAGGTGCAGGTGCAATCCCCGTCATCCACTACACCGCCGCCACCGCGAGGCTTAAGTAGGCGCGTGTCCTACGATGAGCGCTCGCCAACGTCGCCGCGCTCCCTCTCCCGGAGGCAAAGCACCAACGAGCGCATCAACGAAATACTAGAGGTATGTCTCCTCTCGCTTCGCCTCTGCATCTAGCCATCTCGGCCGAAAACCTTCAACTGTGGGACCTCTCGTCCACCACCCTGCCGCTGCTTGGCACCGACCATTCCAGCCGCTCAATTCTTTGAAGTCCCCGTTTTCATACAGAACCCTCCCGGACCCTTCAATCCTGTCCCCAGTTTCTTTCCCGTTCCCGCCCGGTTCTTCTCCAGCTTCCCACTCCCACTCCCGCTCCCGCCCCCGTCACCCCATCCGTGTGTGCCCTTGCTGACAACGCGCCCACCCCGGCGCCGAACAGAACGCAAGAGGCCGCGCAGAAGCAATGGGCGGCGCACTCTCCGCCTCCAGGTCCGCCCCCGCCAGCCCTCCGCGCCATTACTCCCGGGATGACGGCACCCACGATGAGACCGTCGGCATCATCTCCCGCGGCCCGGACCGCAACTACCAGAGCATGAATGCCGCGCCCCCGGCGCCAACAGCCACAGCTACGGCGCCCGAGCTGCGGCCCCGCAAGTCCATTCGCACCACACACAACCACCTACCCTCGCAGACGGAAGAGGACGAGGAGGACTACGATGCTGTGGTCGCGCGAGAGGAACGGGCGAGGGCGGCGCAGGTGAAGGAGCCGTGGTACACCATCTTCCTGTCCAGCTTCCAGAGCATTGAGCTTGAAAACAAGGGAAGCGTGGCCCGAGACCATTTGGCGTTAGGTACGTGCTTCTTCTTTCCAAGCTTGCAGCAAAGACGATAGCTTACCAGAGTCCTGCAGAGCGAACCTTTCTCGCCTGGCTCCGTACCTCCCTCGCGTTCGCCTCCATCGGCATTGCTGTCACGCAACTCTTCCGCCTCAACTCATCCATTTCCAACCCTGACTCCAGCAGCCACACTTTGCGCCAGCTCGGCAAGCCGCTAGGCGCGACCTTCCTCGGCATCAGCATTCTGATCCTCTTCCTCGGATACCAGCGCTACTTTCGCGCCCAGCAATGGGTCATGAAGGGCAAGTTCCCCGCGAGCCGAGGCACCATCATCATCGTGTCCATGGTGGCATTCGCCCTCATGGCGGTGAGCTTGGTGGTTGTCATAGTAGTCGGCCCCACCGGCAACGAAAAGTAGATATCGACGAACCTTCAGTTGGTGCTATTTCGATATCATGTTTGCATGCACATACTTCATCGGGAGGGGGGCTGGCTTGCATTGTACCGGGATTTGGTATCAGGCGTTTGGACTTGCATCTATCATCATTATCTGTACCATATACGTAGGAACGAGCTTCTAATGAACACCAAATCTGTGCATAAACGCAAAAAAAGCATAGAGAGCATATACCAAGAGCAGCTGTCACTTTCTCCAACTTGAACCACTTTCCCACTGCAGCCTATCAGATGACGTCAAAACGGACCTGGACCTCACATGTGGGCCTACAGCTCACAACCTTTCAACTACATCCCACCTCACTTACACACACACACACACACACACACACACACACACACACGCTTGCTTTAGCCTCAAATACGTTTTGCGTGCTTCCCCCACTTCTGTAACCCTCACAGGCAAATTTACAGTCAGAGGCAGACAAAACCACGCAAGCACGCAGCCATGGCGCCGAAAGCAGAACCCCTCTCGGTGCAATCCTTCGCAGCAACCCAGCTCTCCCTCCTCTCCGCGGAGCTCGCCGCCGAGATCGCAGAGTCCTCCGCCCTCGTCTCCCTGCACTCGCCCACGGCCCTCCAGCGCGCCGGCCTCGCCCTCTCCAACCTCGTCGTCGGCGCGCGCCGGACCGGCCTCGGCGGCCGCACCGTGCTCGAGCTCAACCCGGACCCGGCCGTGTCCTCCTCCGCGGAGGGCAAGCTGCCCGAACACGGCCTCCGCCCGGGCGACATCGTGCTGCTGTCCGAACAGCCCGCCGGCAACGCCAAGAAGAGGGAGGTGAAGGAGCTTGAGAGCAAGGGCGCAAGGGGCGTCGTCACGAGAGTGAGGCATGAAAGCGTCGGCATCGCGGTGGACGAGGGGAAGGGCGAGGAGAGGGAGTTTAACGGGCGCGTCTGGGTCGTCAAGGTCGCCGACGATGTCACGTATCGGAGGTGAGCCTGGCATTCCCGACACACCACCAGGGGGGGAGCGGCATTCACATGAGATGTCACTCTGCACGGGGAAGGGGCCGTCCCAGTCGGGGAGTGAGAGCATCAGGCTGACGAGACACAGAATGAACCTTACCATGGAGAAGCTCGAGAAGATGACAGAGGCCGAGTACAGCTCATTCATGCGCGTGCTCTTCGGCCTCTCGAGCCCAAGCCCTGTGCCTTCAGATCTCGCGTCCGATTCGGAGCTTTCCAAGATCCAATGGATCGATCCCTCGCTCAACGACTCGCAAAAGGACGCAATCCGCTTCGCGCTCGCGTCAAGAGAAGTCGCACTCATTCACGGACCTCCAGGAGTGAGTCTCCTCCGCCCCCCTCACCTGAAGGCACAAACTGACACTGGACAGACTGGAAAAACCCACACACTGATCGAGCTCATCCTCCAGATGCTCAAGCTCGACCTCCGCATCCTCGTGTGTGGTCCCTCAAACATCTCCGTCGACAATATCGTCGAGCGCCTGTCACCTCACAAGATCCCCATCCTCCGCCTCGGTCACCCGGCCCGTCTCCTCCCCAGCGTCGTCGCCCACTCCCTCGACGTGCTCACCCAGACCTCCGAAGCCGGTGCCATCGTTAAGGACGTCCGCGCCGAGATGGACGCCAAGCAGGCCTCCATCAAGAAGACGCGCAACGGCCGCGAGCGACGCCAAATCTACGGCGACCTCAAGGAGCTTCGGAAGGAGTTCCGCGAGCGCGAGCGCCGCTGCGTGAGCAACCTCGTGCGCGAGAGCAAGGTCGTCCTTGCGACACTGCACGGAGCGGGCGGCCACCAGCTCCGCGACCAGCAGTTCGACGTTGTCATCATCGACGAGGCCAGCCAGGCGCTCGAAGCGCAGTGCTGGGTGCCACTGCTGTCCGCGAAGAAGGCGGTCTGCGCGGGCGATCACTTGCAGCTCCCGCCGACGATCAAGTCGCTCAACTCCAAAGTGAAGAAGGTTCTGGTCGAGGGAGCAGGAGAGAAGCAAATCAAGGGAATGACGTTGGAAACGACTCTGTTTGACAGGTTGCTCGCCCTGCATGGGTCATCCATCAAGCGGATGCTCACCACACAATACCGCATGCATGAGAAGATTATGAGGTTTCCATCAGACGAGCTATACGATGGAAGATTGATCGCTGCAGAAGCAGTCAAAGAGCGTCTCCTGAAAGACTTGCCTTACGAAGTCCAGGATACCGAAGACATCAACGAGCCACTCATCTTCATCGACACACAGGGAGGCGACTACCCGGAAAAGAGCGAGGACGACGACAAGGATGCCGTCAAGAAGGCCAAATTCAGCCTCCACGGTGAAAGCAAGAGCAACGAAATGGAAGCGGCTTTGGTGCGGCAGCACGCCCAAAGCTTGGTTGATGCTGGCGTGAAGCCCGAGGACATTGCTGTCGTGACCCCGTATAACGCTCAGGTAAGTTCTGGACTGGATTCCCTGGGTCGTTCGAAGTCGTGGACACGAGCTGCAAGGGGGTGAAAGCATGGGACGCAGCCGCAGCATGAAGCTGACATCGGATGAACCGAACAGCTCGCCATTCTCGCGCCCCTGAAGGAGCAGTTCCCGGGCATCGAGCTGGGCAGTGTAGATGGCTTTCAGGGCCGCGAAAAGGAGGCCGTCATTGTCAGCCTTGTACGGAGCAACTCCGAGGGAGAAGTAGGGTTCCTGGGCGAGAAGCGCCGACTGAACGGTAAGCTCAGGAGGTCACCAAGCTCGCCGTCTGGGAACATCCCAGCTGGGCTATTAAGGGCGCATGATTGTTAATGCGGTTTAGTGGCGATGACGCGACCCAAACGCTCGCTGACGGTGATCGGTGATTCGGAGACAGTCAAGAGGTGAGTGCGTTTGAGACTTGTTCTCCTTTCTTTTCCATTTGTCTCTCGGTCGGAGGATTTCTGGGTGTTGGCGTGTCGGGCTGCGGGCGAACCGCTGCTGCACAGATGTTATCCTGAGACACTGCTGAGCCGCACCAAACGCCCGAAATCTCGGGCCTGTTTCTTCTTTTCTTTTGCTAACCCGCTGCATCAATACAAACAGAGGTAGCGCATTCCTCAAGAGATGGATGGATTTCCTCGAAGAGAATGCAGATCTGCGTTATCCCGACTTGTCAACCCTCCAGGGGTCTTGAGATGCCATATTTGGGATGGTGGGAGGCCGCGGGTTAATGATGGTGGTGGCTGGTGAGAACGCATGGCCCACCTCTATGCAGGCCGCCTTCAATGTCAACCTTTATGCGACGAAAGAATATCATTCGCGGCAAGAGACCAGACGATCTAGAATACTGACGAACCGGCTTCCTCGGTATCGTGGACCGTCTGGAAGGGCCGTGAACGAGCTGGGATGGCTTCTTATGCGCGGCGACGCCCTGGAACCCCGTCTCCAACGGCTTCCCAAAAGGGAACAGGCGGCATTGTGTGTGCATTTGGCGTGGCGTATCGTAGAATTTACAGCACACCCGCGGCCAACCAATGCTCTTCCATGACCAACTGGGGATTACGGGGTAGGGAGTGTCCGTTGACGCAAGTTGATAGGCGCCAGGGCCCAGGTTTCTTGGGTCGACCGATTGGAAAAAAAGACCAGAGGGAAGTGTGGACGGACCGCAGATGTCAGCCGTCACTGATCAGACGAAGAAGCAACCCTTGTCTCTATGTTTCAGGTTACCTTTGTCGTCTGTGCAATCCTTGTCCTGCGTGGCCAGACCCGCCAAATTCTCCTACCGAGGACAGGGGCCTGCGGTGTTGCTCGACTTGAACGCGTTTTTTTGGCCGCTCTCCGTCCAGTTTGTGCGTAGGATTTTGCGGTGTTGTTGGGGCTGTGGAAGGTACATTTCCCAAAACTCTCGAGTATGCGGCGGACTTAGTGTCAGCCGCAGCCATTGAGTTTTCAGCAAGGAGCCAATCTTTCTCACGCCAAGGCGTGAGATGCCATCTTTTGCCTCTTGTTGGGCTCCTGTCGACGTCTTGGATATGATGCAGGATCCGCTGCAGAAGCGAAACAGTGGACAATCATCCCCTCTCCACGTACCTTTTGTTTGTTGATGTTGTGCACCAAGTTCGTGCGTCTTTCGTGTTTGTTACTGGCAGTTTGTTAGTGACAGCATGCATCGCAGAAGACCCAACAGTCGCTCCATCATGCACTACAACGTGGTTGAGGCTAGAAGATGTCTCCCGGATCTATGGTTTCCGAATGATCGCGCGTGCCGCACCCGGAGGTGGCCCCTCTTGGTGGCATATCGGGACTATTTGTCCGCCAGCTGGCTTTCGAAATTGAAGGCTATTGTGACGCAAATCTTACCACAAACGTGGTGTCTAGTCGGGCGGACCGAGACGACTTGTGTGAAGCACAATGATATCGTCCTCCGTTCTACACTAGTACCCGGCTGAACGGTTCGTCCCCGTCATTATGGGACAACTCCATTTCCGGGGTCCTGAACCCTCAATGAGACATATGCCCCGGCAGCCTGAAGAGCACTGACAAACACCTTACGGTGGCAGTCGGGGAACGACAAGGTGTTGCTCGAAGTTGCCGGCGGCGCCGCATCTTATGTTCGATCAATATGGCGTCGCCGAGCCTTCAGGTGATGGGAGATCATAAGTCGGGTGCCTCGCTATATGATGCTCCGCCGGGGACCCCACTCAGCGAGCCGATCAAACTGTGGCCGGACGCGCGACGAGAATTCGTGTTGGGTCGGGGTTGTATTGGGTGCCGCGGGGACAAAGTGTGAGCGTGTGCGTGACTCTCCGCCTGCAGCCACAATTACCGCATCATGTTGTCCGCGATGGCACGGCACGGCGGCTTTTGAGCGGTAAAGTCGTGCCATTCGTGCATACTAGGCCTGGGGTTGGCTGGCTGGCATGCCAATGTAGTCAACCATAGATAGACCGTCCCCTCTTAGGCATTTGGTCTCCAAGAAAAAGCTGTGGCAGGGCATCGTAGTCAAAAAAACCGCTCATTGGAGTAACTCTGCCATGTGGCATTCTAACAACCACTGCCAGAGCCTGGAAGTCACTCGCGAGTCATTGAGGGACAGGTTGATTGAGCGAATGGTTGTCGATACGGGGATCTGGCGTCTTGGTTGTCCGGGTCGCGAAGCGGTCGACATATGGCCTCCAGATCTGGCCTAAGGAGCCGGGATATTTGAATAGGCAGACAACATCAGACAATAGGGGCGGCGCTCGTTGGACGTGGGCCTCTGGGCCATGTGGTGTTTTAGCCTCTTGGGTCTGCGATGTGGGGTCGACCTGCGCGCTAGTGGGCGCCTTCTTCGCGAAGCTGCACGTCGGAGGGATGGAGTGCGGTGGTAGAGGCTGGTCGTCGTATGCAGTAGTTCTCAAGAACCAAACATGACAAGTGATGGGCGGTATCCTATCGGGGAGGCGGGTTGGTGAAGGGTCTGCTCTACGTCTGCTTTGCAGGCTATAGTAGTGGCTGGACGGCAGCTGTTGTGTTCCAAGAATAAACGCAGGCAGGTAAGTGCATGAGGACGTGGCATGTGGTTGTAGCGATCCCAGGAGAGGAAGGCTCCGTTGCAGTCTGCGGCTGGAGGCTGCAATGCGATTCGACGGTGACATGAGCGATCACATCTCTTGCGTTACTCTCGAGGAGCTAGTCCTAGCGCCATCATCAAGACAACGGGTGGTTGGAGAATCGTCCGTCAGATCAAGCCATCGGTGTCAGTCTCGATAGCGGCGGCAGCGAAGCAGAGTGGCAGGCCAAATGTCGGCCACAAACGAGATAGTGCCAACGGCCACACACACCAGAGAGGTTAGTGCCGATGGCTAGAGAATCCTTGAATTCCAGCGCTCCGTTTGCCGGACTCCTCGCTAGCTTCCCATTGGGGTGAGGAAGGCGTTTGTCGACCCTGGCGCCGGGCGGCGTGTCACGATATTGGGTGACTAGTTGACGGAGGGCAACTTGGATGGTGGCATATGGGACGCCATGTCGGATGAAGATTCCAGCACCGTTGGTGCATTCTTCGACGAGGTCAGTCGCAGGTAGGACATGATTGTCAAGGTGGTGTTGGCGCCATCAGCCCTCGGGGAAGGGTGGCTTTGACCCCGACTTGACATGATGAGCGACTAGGGGGGAAAGCCTGATACTGAGACTGGTGAAGGCTGACTGGTGGTGGTTGCTGACTTTGGGCGATTCAAGTCGGGGTTAGAGCCGGGATTTGGTAGCGACGACGCCAGGCGCTGGGTTGGCGGGCGTGGTTGAAATCGAATCTATCCGCGCAGAGTGGTAATAACAGTGCGATGGTAGCATCGAGAGCCCACACTCCGCAAAATCGCGCTCAAAAGGCGTCTGTTCCTACTAGGCAAGGTGAGGTTGGGTCGAGGTGTGATGCAGAACATTGTGAAGTCAACACTGGACACACACTGGACGACAACGACACGGACCATTAGCGGGACGAGAGGCGGGAGCACCTTCCCTCGACAGGCCCCATGGGAAAGGAAAGAAAAAGGAAGGAAAGAAGACTGAAACACAGCCCCAAAAGCGGCATGGCTCAAAAATCGGACCAGCAGACCGGATTGGATTGGATCCGGGAGGACCGGGGGAGCACAGGTGGATTCCAGCTGGGCAGTTGGAAACGGTCACTGGACTGGACAGCTCAGAAGGAGGGAAAAAAGGACAGAGAAAGCTTCACAAATGGGGAGGAGGCAGTCGCGTCACCCCACTCGAGCTCCTTCTCATCGTACAGCTGTCACTGCAGGCTGCAGGTGAAGGTGAGTGAGTCGTGCAGTGGACTGGCGACGGGACAGCAGGTGGAGTTTGCTGAGCCGGTGAAAGGCGAGGCCCGTGGATCACATTGACTTATTTTAGGCGGGCTTGCACGTTTTGCCTTGAGGCTCTGACACGAACAGGTGTGAAGTATTTGGAGTTTTGGGGTTTAGGAGTTTGGGACAGAGTTACGCAGTATTAGTACGAATACTACCTCTTCGGTGGAATATCAATTATACTTTTTTGACTTTGCAAAGGCAAAGATCTAACAGCATCGGCCCCCAACTCGAGACATCCATCCTCGCACTTTGCTACCTATTGAAAGGTACCTTAGAGTAGGTCGATGAATGTCGCCTTTGGTTCCCTTGATCGACGCACCTGGCCTGGGCAGGGACGGGCTCAGGCACACGATGGTATCAACTTCATATGGGTGCATGTTTTCTGGGTGTTGCTCGCCCACATTCCTGGCATCCCTCGCGTCGCTCATACGTCTTCCCCCCTCCGACGGCGAGGAGGGAGCGCCCGAGAGTGAGACTCAGACACTGAGGTGCGCAATCATCGGATAACGGGCATGCGCGCACGTTCCGGCTAATGTCAATTCATTCTTGACATTGGATTTCGTCACTTGCGTCCGTCCAGTGTTTCCTTGCTGCGCGTTTCCCCTGCGTGGTCTGGGTGCCGGTGGTGGTGTTCAAGAACTGGCTTGCCTCGGACGGGCAAAGACACCGAGTTCGGTCGGTGGAGGTGTGGTGTCGACAGTGCGGTGTGTGCCTGTCCTGTCGTGGCCTGCCCTGTCCTGCCCGCCTGCCCGCCTGCCCTGGCTCTTTCCCCAACGCCTCTTTGACCAGGGGCTGACAGCTCCACGCCCCAAGCACTGACCTCAAACAAGGACCATCCCCGACGCAGGAGCCAAGCAGGGGACTTGCCATTTGCCAGTCACCACCCACCAGTGGAAAATGAGAATGGAACAGCAAGATTTGACTCTTGTCTGGCTGCCGTCTTGTTCTGACCTGTGTCCTTTCCATTGTCATTCATCATTGACGAGACGAGACGACTCGACTCGACTCAACTGACTTTCCGTCCGACCTGCTAGTGCAGGCAGGCAGGCAGGTACTTCTACTACTTATGGCAAGACCACACATGGTCCACCCTGGCTTCTCGTCTCGTCTCGTCTCGTCCCGTCCTTTCGTCTTCTCCTCCAGGCTCCATGTCCTCCCTCCTCTTTGCCTCTCTCGGAGAACATTACTGTATCCTAGACACGTTAGATGCACCATTGGCGCCGTTCCAATGGTCCGTATCCTCCTCCTACCTTAGCCGTGCATGCATGCTTGTTTCATCCCGCTAGTAAATCTGCATTCTGCGGTCTATTACACTGGACTACACTACGGATACTCTCTCAGTCTCTGCCCCCATTCACCCGTATCTGAGGTCCGACAGCCGTGCCGGCCGCTGCCTCCTCCATAGTCACTCTTTCTTTCTCTCCGTCTGCTATCGTGTGTCGCAACGCAACGGGAATGCCCCGTCAGTAGTTCCTTGCAGCTTCTTCTGCACCCCCTGTCGAGATGCCGTCCTGTACCTCGTGAACCACCTTGCTCTTGAATGGAGGTATCCATACGGAGACCGTAGCTACCACCTGCTACCCGGCCGATTCTGTACGGATATGGATACCTTGCACGCATCTCTCGCGCAGACCCGATACCGTCGCTTTCCTTACATGCCACTGCTTTCCCTTTTCTCCCGCCCTTTCTTCTCCTGCTCCTCTCTTGTTTCTTTTTCCCACCCGGTGCCGCGCCGTCTGCCGTTGGAGAGAGACATACATACCTACAGATAATACTCCTCCTCCCGACCGCAGCCCCTCCACTCCCCTCCCCCAGCAGCAGCAACAACCAACCATAACATTCGTTCACTTCTTTCCACAACGTACCGTACCGTCCCCTGCCTGCCAGGTACCCTACTTTACCTTACCTTACATCAACCCGACTGCACCGCGTCCTTTGCATCTGCATCGCGCCCACCACGCTCCTTGGCCAATAACTCAGCCTCTCATACTGTATAATTCAACCCTCTCCCGCCATCCCACCACATCCTATCCCTCCTCGCCCTATCCCCTTCTTCCCACTCCTCGAACCTCGACCCTACCTTGCCTTAGCGGCACGCTACCGCCCGTTCTAATCAACGTGCTCCTCCGGCCGCCTCGTCAGCCTGTCGCAGAGCTGCCCGGGTGCTCCTTTGATACATGACGCATGTGCTGCTAGGGTCCCCCCTTCTTAGTGGCATAACTTCTTCCCCAATCCCCCATCTCCTCGTGGGTTCTTCTCCTTTATTCGCCTCCTTCATCGTGCTTTGATTGTTCAGCCCGACCGATCTCCGTCTACCTCTTGCGCCGCTGCGCCGGTTGAGGGCCTTTGCCACTGGACCTCTCTAATCCCCGACGAGCCCAGACGACGGGCGGCATTGCTGGACATATGCACCATGAATCAGGTTACAGCATAGATCACCACTTGGCCTAGACTCCGGGCGTCCGATCAAGATTTCCAGACTCACCTGCTGTCTGCCTACCTGCTTGCCTGGATATTGGATATCCCAGACGAACTGTCACGGCTCGGCACCGGACATCACCCGTCTGCTGGCTCAGCTCTTGGACCTCACATCAGCATTGTCTCTGCCCCTCCTCGTCATTTCCCGACAAGCCTCACTCTCATGGCTTACACTGGACCACAATCATATACACCGTCCCTCCTCCGTCGTCCTCTTTTACACTCGTTCTAGCCCCCAGCTGCAAGAGCCGCAAAAAAAAACCCAAGAAAACCAAAATCACACCTAGGTCACCTCCAACTCAGCCATGGGCCTTTTCAAGTCGGCCAACTCCCCTGCACCTAGCGCCACGAGCCGTTCCATGACGGGCCAGTCCATTCGTGGCAAAATATCAGGCCCAATCCCCATCCCGAATCCCATCGACGACGAATTTCCCATGCGCAACCCGGGCACCGGCATTGCTACGCCGGTAACTGAAGGCAACATGAGAGAGCAGATGATGAATCCTCCCCCGGCCGAGCCCGTGGTTGGATCAATTGTTGCGACTCCCCAGCCCGAGGTCTCACAGCCGCCGAGGACCGAGTCCGTTGTTGTCCCTCCGGGAACCGGCTCAACTTCTGGCTCGTCTCCAACCGCCGCATCCCACGCCAACTCCCACTCCAATTCTCCTCAGTCGCAAAGAAGAACGAATGTGTCCAGCAATCTGAGATACTCTACGGTCAGTGCTGCGTCCGAACAGACCGGTGCGAGCAAGGAAAGACCTCAGCGCAAAAAGTCAACTTTGCGCGGCGCATTGGGGAAGCTTTTTGGTCGCAAAAAGAAGGGCAGCCAGGGCTCGTACGACTCGCAGCGCATGTCGACCTACAACCCCACGAACCAAAACCAAAACCAACACAAGAGCGTGAGTTTCGGTAGCGGCCGCTCCCGTGCCATCGCACCTTTCTTGATTTCAGCAGAACAGAAGCTAATTCGAGCTACTAGGACCCTTCCGCTTTAACCCGAACCAAGGAGTCCGAACCCAAGCGATCGGCGTCCTTGCCGATCACCGAGTACGACAGAGCGTTAAGGTCTCACTCTATCGGTCCCCAGGATATCACGGCTATTGAGAGCGCGCGAAATTCGATCACAGTCGACCCATCGCAGTTGCAAACAAGCCGTAAACGTGCGGCTACGTCTACAATAAGCCAAATTTACTCCGCTCCGTTTAGGCGTGATGGCGAGCTGGCAGGTCTGTCGCCTCGTCCAGCGAGCACCCACGTTCGTGGAAGCCGACTATTCCACTCCGACGACGAGGACCCTGAGGAAATCGGCCGCGCAATTACGAGCGACGTTGGCCACAAGCGACGATCCAGAAGTCTGAGCGGAATCAACAACCCCGAAGCAAGGGCTCACGTTCGCAGACGCAGCGATGAGATCCAGTATTGGAGACAGAGTTACGATCCGGCCTTCTACACGTCACCAGCGACGACCAATCCTCCTGATGACGAGAACCAATTTGCAGGACTTGCACCAATGGACATGCCCGAATCCCCAGTTTCCCCTATAGAGCAAGCACAAACCCCCATGCGCACTCCCCCTCAACCGTTCTCTTTCGGCAACTTGACTCACATGAACGTCATGGCGGGCATGAAGATCACACAAGCAGCCAGTATTGAGACTCGGATCGAGACTTTGGAGAGCAGGATGCAGCGTATGGAAGACGTTGTCACTCAACTGTGCAACTCGGTTCCTGGGTTCCAGGTCCAGATGACCCAGCCAGGTCGACCTGCGCCGCCTGTGCCTCCCTCGCAATCGAGCACTGCTGTGAATCCCACGCTTCAGCAGGTCGCGCGCCAAAGTGCTCCGAGCTCGAGGTACAGCAACTCGGCACAATCAAACACCTCTTTTGGCGAAGCTCCTACGTACGTCGGTTCTCTGCACGTTCACACCGGCATGAACCGGCCAACCTCCAATGCGACTATTCGCGGCGTAACCAGTTTGCCTGCTATGCCTCGCGCTGAGGCCGGCCGGCCCACCGACACCTTTACGGCGGATCATTACACGATGCTCCTCGCGCTTCTCGAGACCGAAAGGTCTTCTAGACAGGCCCTTGAATCTCAGGTGAAGAAGCTCACGAGGCGCATCAACATGATTTCGGGACCGACCGGCAGTGGCCGCATGTCTCTGCAGATGGAGCCCCCGCCGACGGCCAAGTCATTCGGCAGCGTATCGGCTTTCGATCATGACTCATCTGACGACGAAGATGCCGCCGCAAGGAACCGCCGTTTCTTGGCTGAAGATTCGGGCGTTGGCACTGGTGTCGGAGACGATGACTCGTACTCGGAGGTCTTTGCCACCCCGAAGGAGGAGCAGTCGCACGGCTACGGCGCCTTCGGGGAGGATTTGCTCGACGAGGATGATGATCCTGCGCGTAAGAAGGCAGCCAGGACGTTGTCCCTCAGCCAGATGACGCTGGGCAAGAAGGCGTCGAGAACGGGAGTACGAAGTTGACGCAGTCGGCCGCTTTCTAGTGCGTTGTTTTTTTGAGATTTCTCATTATACCCCGGGATATTCCCCCCACTCATGAGACGACGACGGTGGTTCTTTTCTCGGCAGTTGTTGAGTTGAAGTCTCGCTCGTCTTAGCGATTCGGCATTGATACCTCATCGGAATTTCTGACTAATTCAGCATTATGGTAGCAGAGTCTTTTGTTGCATTAATCTGTTCTCTTCTAGTTTACTCTTGTATATGACTACCCATTTCCGTTCTGGACGAAGCAGTTGGAACAGTCTTGATGGGATACATCCCTATGACGCGGATTTCTTTTTCTTTGGGTTTCATTTTGTTTCTGAGAGTCTGGCCGTGTTGGCGGGGGTGAAGACTTGCAGAGCTCGTCAGCAGGTAGTGTCGCGCGCATCGTCATTTCCAAGTGTTCAAGGGCCAGCGTAAGCCTGGGAAGTTTCACGTCGCGAGAGGTGGAGGTGCCAATTTGCGGTCGCGTACCGCTGTTCGTGGTGCCAGGTGGGATCGAAGATAGCTAATAGCTTGAGTGTCGCACTCTGAAGCCGTTTCAGGGTGTGCGCGTGTACAATATCAAAAACATGTTCACACAAGTATGAAGTCTTTGAGATGAGGATCATGTCGATCGTCTAGAGTTGCACTGTCACTCGTACGATGGTCCCGCCTGGGTTATTGCAAATCCATCGTGGAAGCCACATGGCTGGCGTCCGCTTTGTCCTCAGAGAGGTTGTGCACCCGAGCCTGCCGTGGCAACGAAACGAACAGCGGGCCGAAAGAACAAGGCTAAGGGACAAGGTCGCCCAGTGCCAATCTCCGGGTTGTCATCTCGGGAAGAGGAAGAGGAACTGGACCAGAATGTTTCGAGAACAATTCTCGGTTCCAGCCACCCATATCGCCGCTAGCATGCCGTTGGGAATGGGGAACGGGGAAATCTGGCAAGGGCTTGGCCTGGGCCGTCAAGCAATTGTTTCCAGGTCCGCTCTGCCCCGCAGCAGTGATTTGGCAATTGCTTTCCGAATGGTCCGAAAAATGTCATATTCCGGAGTCAGCCTGTGCAAGTAGTGGCTAGTTATTTACCTAGGCATTGCGCGCATAGCATAAAGCTGGAATACCTGGAAGTCCGAAGGGGTAATCGCCGGCCGTACGCGGCGCCCGCGACCGAGTCATCCCCGTATCCATCCCCCGCCTCCGAAAGATTGCGGCGCCGTCTGCTCGGGTGGACCTACGTAAGCAGAAAACAAGCCGACCACTAAGGACGCCCAGAGATAGGCAGCTAATCTGCCACGCACAACCTCTACGCTTAGCTTCCCGCGCGACATAACCCAAAGATACGCACATACCAAGCCAGACCAGCCTCCCGTCCCGCGCGTGCTCCTCGTGGTGAAAAGCATATTTCGCATCCATCACTTTTTTCCTTCCCTCCCTCTTTAACCCTTCGCCGCCACCAAAACCCCTCCTCGTTTGCGCCGTGACATCAACGTCCCCAATTTTGCGGTCGGACGTCATTGCCCTCCTCCCCACCCCGTAGAGGATACGTCGCTCGCAATCTTTGGTCGCGTCACTGAATCCCCTCAAACTCGGAAATCCTCAACGAACCGTCGCAGCAATGTCCGGCTGGGTAGATTGGTCAAAGACCACGCGGTCCTCCGACTACCGCGGGTCAACCTCCTTCGCAACCTTCATGATCATTGGGCGTATGTTGCAACCCCCCCCCCCCCCAACTCCCCCTTCACCGTCTTCGCGGCGCAATGATGCTAACCCCACGCGCGCAACAGCAACCTGCTTCTTCCTCGGGATCCTCTTCGCCTCGTTCCCCTACGACTTCCCCCTCCTCTGGACCTCCGCCCCCGTCCCCGAGTCCTTCTACGCCCACCTCGAGACGCACCTCAAGTTCATGCACCAGTCCCCGCCCCTCATCGGCCGCCTCCTCAACATCATCGTCTTCACCGGCTTCCTCGGCTTCTTCATCAAGCTCTTCCGCCCCTCCGAGGCAAACGTCCTCTTCGACGGCGCCTCCCTCGTCCTCTACCTCATCGGCGTCGGCGTCTACATCACAAACATCGTAAAGGGCCTGCGCTCCGTCAGCGCCGGCATCTGGGACGACCCCAACTGGGCCGCCAACAACAACGGCGGCGACGACAACGAGGTCATCCTCGGCAAGGAGGACAGCCTCAAGGTCCTGGCCGCGAGCAACACCATCCTCGCGCTCGTCCTCGTCGGCGTCCTCGTGCTGCAGGCCGGGCAGTGGTACGCCGAGCGCAAGGACCGCGAGGACTTTGTCAAGCTCGAGGAGGAGGAGAACAAGAAGGGCGCGTCGTCCAAGAAGAAGCAGTGAGGTATCGATTGCTGTGACGCACTTGTCTCAGTAGCAAGTGGGAGGCAGGCGACTTGCATTGGAATGAGAGCAGTTGGCTTCCTCCTTCATGCGGAGTTTGGGTGGGACATTATATGTCATGAACTTTAGATGTCATGAGTGCGATGTATGCACGCGATCATCGCTTCAGCGAGTCGCTCAGTTACTGTCAAAAGGCACCAAGTGTTGAATATACCATGTCTAACGTCTTTTTTTGTATTCTGGGTCTGTCTACCCATGGGTCAACAAGGTGCTAAAAACAACTTATGAAATCTTTTCATATGACGACTATGCCCCTTTTCTTTTCTTCTCATCTCCTCTTTACTTCATCATGCAACATACGCTTACTCAAGCTTGAGCTGCTCAAACTGCTTAATCGTACCCTCGAAACCCCTCGCCTCAGACTCGAGGTCGACAACCTTCTGCCTGTCGGCCTTCTGGACGGCCTCCGCGACCTTCTCCTGGTAGGCGGGATCCTCAACCAGCTTGCGCTGCTTCTCGATGTTGGTGCGGGCCTTGTCGAGCTTCTTCTTGGCCTTCTCGATCTCGGCGTCGAGGTCGACGCGGCCCTTGACGTGGAGGTAGACCGAGGCGGAAGAAGCGACGGGGAAGGCGACGCAGCCGGCGGGTCGGGCAGCATCGGGGGCGACGATGTCGATGCCGGTGACGCCCTTGCCGCTGAGGGACTTGATGGAGGCAACCTGCTCCTCGATGGTGGAGGCAGAGGTGGCGTCGTGGGCCTGGATAATGACTGCGATTCGTTAGTGACTGACATACACATAGTATGTGAGAAAACCTACTTCTAGCCTCCTCCTTCTGGGCGTACTCGCTCATGAGCGATCTCGCGGCGCGAGAGCAACCCAGGACAAGCTCGTAAGCGGCCTCGGACTTGGGGTCATCGAGCTTGGCGTTGTAGACGGGGTAGCTGGCCAACATGATGGACCTGGTCTTGTCCTCGGGACGGCGGGGCAGGCGCTGCCACAGTTCTTCCGTGATGAAGGGAGTGAAGGGGTGGATCATGGTCAGCGCACCCTCAATAGCAGTGTAGAGGGTCTGGACAGCGCTGGCCTTCTCCTCCTCGGTACCATCCTGGATAATGGCCTTGCTGTTCTCGATGTAGACGTCGCACAGGTGGCTGAGGATGTACTGGTAAACGATGCCCGTGGCGTGCTGGAACTCGCGCTCGCCCAAAGCGGTGTTGATGTCCTTGGCGGCGGTGTTGAGCTTGTGAAGAATCCACTTCTCAGCAAGCGTCTTACCGGCGGCGGGCTCCTTGAGAGGGACGAAGTCCTCGGGCAGCTTGCCGAGGACGTACTTGGACGCCTGCCAGATCTTGTTGCAGAACTTTCTCCAGCCGTGCATGACCTTGACGTCAAAGTTGACATCGCCGCTTGTCGAGGTAAGCGCAGCCATGGTGAAGCGGAGGGCGTCGGCACCGTTGCGAGGCAGACCCTCGGGGAAAGCCGTCTTCTGGTACTTCTCGGCCTTCTGGACCTCGCTGGGGTGCAGGTTACCGGTGCGGAGCTTGGCGTGGAGGTCCGGCAGAGAGATACCGGAAATAGCATCCAAGGGGTCGATGACGTTGCCCAGGGACTTGCTCATCTTGCGACCCTCAGAGTCACGGACGAGACTGTGGCAGTACACCTCGGTGAAGGGAACCTGGCCAGTAAGCTTGATGCCAAGCATGACCATACGCGCGATCCAGAAGAACAGAATATCCCAACCAGTCTCAAGGACGGAAGTAGGGTACAGCTCAGCCAGATCGTTAGTCTTGTTGGGCCAGCCCAGGGTAGAGAAGGGCCAGAGGCCAGAGGAGAACCAGGTGTCCAGGACATCTTCATCCTGCTCCAGGGTGAACTTCTTGCCGGGGAGGGCAGCCTTGGCCTTGGCCTCAGCCTCCTCGCGAGTCTTTCCAGCGAACCATTGCTTGCTGTCCAACGAGTCGGACTGTTCACCCTCAACCTTGGCCAGGTAGACGGGGCAGCGGTGTCCCCACCAGAGCTGACGGGAGATACACCAGTCGTTGATGTTGGCCATCCAAGCGTAGAAGCTGCGCTCAGAAGACTCGGGGCGAATCTTAATCCTGCCATCCTTGACAGCAGCAACAGCGTCATCAGCCATGCTGCGCATGCTCATGTACCACTGAGGCTTCAGCAAAGGCTCAATGACATCCTTGGAGCGCTCACAGAGGGGAATGGTCATGGCGTTGTCCTTCTTGTCAACGTAGAGGCCGAGGCTCTTGAGCTCATCCTGGATGGCGTAACGGACGTCGAATCTCTTTTGGCCCTGGTACTTGCCACCGTTCTCGTTGATGTTCCCATCGTCGGTGAGAATATTGATGAACTCGAGGCCGTGCTTCTGACCAAGGTTGAAATCGTTGGGGTCGTGGGCGGGAGTCAGCTTGACGGCTCCAGTACCGAAATCCCTGTCGACGTAAGTGTCGGCGACAATGGGCAGGAAGCGGCCCTTAATGATAGGGTGCTTGGCCCTCTTTCCAACCAGGTGCGTGTATCTGGGGTCCTCGGGGTGGACGGCGATACCAGAGTCACCCAGCATCGTCTCGATACGGGTGGTGGCGACCTCGAGGAACTCATCAGAGCCCTCAATGGGGTACTTGAAGTGGATAATGACACCAAAC